CGTTGAGTCCATCTTTGAACTAACAGACTAGGATATCTTCTGGCCAGTTAACTCGGCCTCCAGGTTATGAAATTCCTCAGTATACTCAGCTAGCGGGCAACAGCCTTGCTTTATGACTCTAATGCGGTCATGGGCTTTTCTATCGGCGAGGGAGTCTTCGAAGCGGTGGCATAGGGCTGTCATGAAACTATCAGTTTCTCAGTTCTGGGACGATGACATTGTGGAGAGTCACCATCCATCTGGCTGCTGCCCCTTCAAGAGCCAGGGTGATGACTTGCACTAGGGCCCCCTGGGTCGGGAAATTCCACCCGTATTCTTGCATGTAGGTGAGGACATGCGCCAGGAAAAATCCCAGTTCCTGGGGGTTCCCATCGAATTTTACCCCCAAGGGTGGGACCTTTCTCTGCAGTTGTATGTCTCTGGGTTGGCCAGGGTTAATCCCCTGCTCTGGAGCGGCAAGTGGTTGGGTACCTGGTATGGCTGCTGGTCCTCCAGCTTCTTCCAATGCCCAATCATTCTCAGCTGGATCAGGAGTGACGGCTCAGGTTCTCTCAATTTCTGGTTCACTCGCTCTCCTACGTTGGCGACCTGGCTCATCCCTCACATTGAGGTCCTCCAGGGCTTCCCTCATGAGGCGATTTATGTACCGTTTCAGTCAGTCATCTACCAGTGGTTGCTCGACCCATTCTTCCTGATCGGAGAGGGCCTCCAGCTCCATTTTCCACCTGGGTTTACGGTTACCCTGGGTGAGGGTTACTCCCTTGGTTCTTCCATCCCAGCTGTCTCTCTTTCCTATGCCTATAGACCACCAGGGCTTTGTGGAATTTTCTCAGGCAGCTTCACTGTCTTCGATGGGGTACACAAAGTCAATGTCTGGCTGGGTAGCTGTCAAAGTTTCTCCCCAGCATTCAGCTTCCCCTTGCTCCTTGCTATATTCAGACATTTTTGCAGGGTCCCCTCGGTAGAGTGAAGTTCTTTTTTTAAAAAAAATTCCTCTCCAGATTTACCTCTATTGCAGATTCTGCTTTATGTAAATCTTAGATTCTGCTTTATGTAAATCTTAGATTCTGCTTTATGTAAGCACCGGACTTTTCCCCTTCAACTGAAAAGAATGAACTTCTGAAAGCTAGATACTTCAAAAGGAATTCTTTATTGAAAGGAAGTGATCTCGGTACTAGTCAAAGCAGAATCTAAGATGCTTCCAGCATACAGTAATAGATAAAGGGAGTTAGAACCCCTCCCCTTATTCTGATGTGGATTTAGTCAAACAAAGAACCAACATGTTAATCCCCCCCCTCCTTTTCTGGGAAAATATCTTAAAATAGTTTCCCAGGGAGTATCTTTCAGAGCTGGATTTTTTAATGGTACCTTCTCCTCTTGCTATCTCTCCAAGAGGTGACAAGTTTCTAGACATCTGGCTCCATTCATCCAGTTGTATATCATGTGCAAGTTATACAGATTCAATATAAGGTTTAAGATATTCAGGTTACATCAAAAAGGATTACTTGTACCAACTTCCCCCCTTCTTCTTCCATTGAAGAATGGCAGATACACGGATCTGACAGTGTGTGTGGTAAAGCAACAAAAAATAGGATCAAGAATGAAGATTGAAAGTGGACTGACTATGAAAGAGAAAACTCAGTAGGCTAGAAGTATATCAAGTATGACTAGATGGATGGATTAATTTATGAACATCTCCAATCAACTGACTGGTTCTGAGTTGCATACAACTGTTCACATTTGTTGAGTTAACACATAATAGTTAAAAATTAAAGGCCAATGCATAAGACATAAACCATATTTGCTGAGCCCCAGAGGCAGGACATACAGTAGTAGTGGGAATGTCAGTTGTATAAGAAATAGATCAATATCTTGGACCCCACCTTAAAAGGAGCAGCCTATTGAGATTCTTACATTGAAACAATACATTTCATATTTCAAAAAATATATGCAGTTTTTCAGTTTTGACATGTGCAGTCAGAACCCAAAGATATGGCCCTTTGTCAGATCAAATCTATACAACTGATAATTGTATATGTGGATTGGATTGGGGTAAATTGTATGGATGACTCACAAATTTAATTTGCATTTTTCTTTTTCTTATGTCTTTTACTCTGTTTTCTTACTAATGTTATATTATTTTATATTTTATATTCTGGTAATGCTAATGAATAAAATATTATTATATAAAAATGAAACATTAAAAAATCTTAAAATATGGATGATGACAAGAGAGCTGCAAAGGTTTTTTTTGTTTTTTTTAAACCCTTTAATTCTTTGCTTCTACCCAAAAATTACCTAGATCTGAGATCTAACACTGAAGAAGGCTGGACATGTAGAGAGAATGAATATACATTTGGAAAACGACTAGCTCATCTTATCAAAAGTGCTTTAAACTAAAATTGAGAGGGGAGGGGGGCAATCTTAATGACCTCTGGAACCTAAGTCCAAGCAAAAACCACTAGATAATCAATCACATAAGGAGGAAGGGGGTAAAGAGAAAGAAGAAATTAAAAAATACATAATGAAGTTGAGAGTGATGGAAAGGATGGAAATCCCAGTTACAAAATAAGAGATATAAGAAACATACCCAAGACCCATAAAGGACTCAAATGCCTATACATTAATGCTCAAAGTTTAGGGAACAAACAGGGTGAACTTTAAGTATTAGTACATGAAGGCAGATATGATATAGTTCAGTGGTGGGATTCAAATGTTTTTACTACCGGTTCTGTGGGCATGGCTTGGTGGGCGTGACAGGGGAAGAATACTGCAAAAAACCCATTCCCTCCCCACTCCTGGGGGAAGGTTACTGCAAAATCCCCATTCGCTCCCACCCCACTAACCTGATTTCAATTTCAACAACATGAAATTTAATGTGGAGAAAAGCAAGGTTTTTAAACCTAGGAAGAAAAAAAACAAAGTTTACAAGTACACATTAGGTGAAAGCTGGCTCAAAAACAGTAACTGTCAGAGGACCTTTGGAGTCCTAGTGGGCGATTTCTTAAACATGAGCCAGCAGTGTGTGGCAGCAGCCAAAAAAGCTAATACAATCCTTGGTTGTATGAACAGAGGCATAAATCAAAATCATGTGATGTAAAACTACCACTTTATAAATCCTTAATAAGACTATGCCTGGAGTACTTGCATCCAATTTTGATCACCACATTACAAAAAGGATGTTGAGACTTTGGAAAAAGTGCAAAGAGCAACTAAGATGATTAAGGGCCTGGAGAAAAAAAAAACACATATGTACGGTTGCAGGAATTGGGCATGGACAGTCTAGGGAAAGATGGATTGGGGTGATAGCAATATTCCAGTATTTGAGGGGCTGCCACAAAGAAGAGAGGGTCAACCTATTTTCTAAAACACTAGAAGGCAAGACAAGAAACAATGGATGGAAACTTCTCAAGGAGAGAAGCAACATGGAATTAAGGAGAAACTTCCTAATGGTGATGACAATTAACCAGTGGAACAGTTTGCCTTCAGAAGTTGTGGGTGCTTCATCACCGAAGGTTTTTAAGAAAAGACTGGACAGTCACTTGTGTGAAATGGTATAGAGTCTCCTGTTTGAGCAGGGGATTAGTCTGGAAGACTTCTAGTTCTATTCTGATTGATTGATTGAATGAGCATCAAATTATAAAACAAATATATGAAGAGAAAGGATAAGACAGAAAATTGTGGTTAGATAGAATTGTTAAGTTTCTCAAAAATAGAGGTATAGAAACAAAAGAGAATGTATGAAGTATGAATATGTTAGAAAGCAAGAATGATCTGCAAGAATAAAAGATATAGAAAGGGACAGTGAATGTTTTTATGTAAACTGTATGTAGTGAATTTATTTTAATGTCCTTTGCCTTCTACTAATTCATTTTTGCACGCTTTGTAAAGTTGCTTACACCAGAAACTAATATCATGAGGGATGTGCATGCCTGCTAAAAAAATCAGGAAAGGTGGGGTGGGTGGATTGTTAAGTATTTAACAATTTATGAAACTGTCCTGGCTAAATGGAAAGACAAGGAATAAGTAAAATCAATAAATAACGTAGTTTAGTCATACTCTCAAAGGACTTCATAAGCTGCAGAGGATCTTAACATATCTTCCAGGACACATTCTTACAGTGCTGGATCTCTGTGCCTTCCTGGGTCTCACCGTTGTCCTTTTGTCTGAGAGTGCTCTCTGAAGTATTGTGCCTTTTTGTGTGTAGTTGGCTGTTTCTGATCTCACTGCAGAACTCTAGACTTTCTAGAAACACAGCCTGAAACTATGTATAAGGAATCAGAAAAATAACCATTCTCCCAACCCTCATCCCCTGCCATCCAGAAAATCTCATGTCTTTTTTCTCATTAAAAAAATATTACTAAAAATTGAAATTCACACACATTATTGGAGGGGAAATTCTTGAACTAGAAGTATAAAAGAAATCCTGAATTCTTTTTGACAAAACACAGCAGAATTAAAGCACCTTGACTAAATTTGTTATTTCATTTACAAAGCTTCTTGTAATACAAAAATATGGAAGAATAAGCAAATAAGGTAGTTATTAAAAATGACAATTTACAAACAATACCATGTTAATAATGATTAATAGCATAGTATTATAAACATTTTCAAATGAATGTTAAATTTTATATTACTTCCCAACAGAAGTAATTATTCAAATAAGATTGCTTTTTATTTTTAAGGCAAATATTTCAGAAACGTTATAGTTGTCTTCTGTACATAAATGATATAATGGAGATACACGCATATATATTCTATTCAGGTTATTTAATACAAATGGCTCAGAAATAAGATCCACCAAAATCAATGGAACTTATCTGTGTTTGCATACTTTCAGAACATCTACTCTAATCAGTTATTCATAGAAAACAGATAAATTCTAAATTTATTTCTTCTAACACATAAAATGTTGTGAGATTTTATTCAATAGTGAGTACTATACCCAATTCCTAATGCGAACACATGAGTTAGTAAACAGTTTCCCTTGTTAATTTTTTAAAATTTGTTTCAATTTTTCAAAGCTTTTTCAGTTCTCTTTCTATGGATTTTGTCTTCTTGTGCCAGGATGAACAAGTCTTGTTCTTCTCCGTAGTGATCCTGTTAATCCAAAAATAAGTCAGATAAGGTTATTTTATTTATTGTTTTTATAAGTTAAATATTCATAAAATATAGCAAAATACATTAATTATGATTATTATTGCTTAAAATAAAAACATGCTTATAACAAAAAATCATACACATAAACAGCTAGAATATGTATGAGTTCAAAGGTAGTATTCTTCCTTCAATATCTATTTGTGAGGAAAGATTATGTGATTCAGAATAGTTACCATATTTTTTGGTGTATAAGATGCACTCCCTCCCCAAAGTGGGTAGAAATGTCTGTGCATCTTATATCGCAAATGTTGTCAAAGCACCACCCACCCACTGGCCCCCACCCTTCGGCCTCTGCCTCCCAGCAATTTGCCTCCTTGCAGCAAACAGCCTGGTCAGCTTCAGCACAGCCTAATTAGCAGAAGCAGCTGACTGTCAGTTGGATCAGCCTCCCAACGATCCGTTCCAGGCAGCAGGGATTGGAACAGGCAGAAAATGGGGCATGCAGAGGCCAAAAACGAGGCATGCGGAGGCCAAAAATGGGGTGAGGAGGCTGAAAATGGAGGCATGTATGCGGCAATAGGTGATGGCAATCCCTACAGCCTGAAACAGCTGGTCGTCAGGAGGCCAATCCAACTGACAATCAACTGCTTGTGCTAATCAGGCTGTGCGGAAGCTGATCAGGCTGTTTGCTGTTTACTGTAAAGAGGCAAATTGCTGGGAGGCAGAGGCAGATTTCCCCCCCCCCTTCTTTTCCTCCCCAAAAGCTAGTTGCGTCTTATACTTTGGAGCGTCTTATACTCTGAAAAATATGATAACTCTTTCTTCAGTGCTTTATTGTTTCATTCTTTGATATTACATGCTCAGGCTAGTATAATGTAAGTTCATATTTTGTGTAAATGGATTTAACAAATTTCTCTCTAAATATTTAGTATTATTATATTTTATAAGATAGTTCACATAAAGAATCTTGCCCCCATTTTTAAATTAGAACATATTTAAACATTTTAGTTAAACATAGTTAGAACATGTTAATATTAGAAACCTCTTCATACCTTGTGCCTTTCTAGATGACTGTACTTTTCTTACTGGGATGTCTAAAAATGTTGAAACCAATATTCTTTGTTGTAAACATTTGATAATAATAACATAGGTTCAAAAGTTCAATTTTCTGACTGTACAGTATAGGGGGAAAAGTTCAAGCAACATGGCAGTAATTATTAGTTCTCTAGATTCTGTCAACAATGCTAAAAATTTAATGTAAAACTACTAAGTCAACATTTCAACAAGACAAAAATTTAAGTTTTTTATTTCATTCAGATTTAAAAGATTTAATCAATACTATGCAAAAAATAAAATGGGAAATAATGTTTTGTATCTATAAATAAATGTATTGCATATACACATCAGTTTAGCTATAGGACAGAGAGAGAGGGGGAGACGGAGAGGGAGAGAGCAAGCATGAAACCATTTCTAAAGCCTCTCATTTAGCATAGATAAAGATATAGGGAAGATATAAAGATAAAGATATAGGGAAGTTTCAGGCATTTTTTGTCATTCTAATGAGCAATTTTACCAGAAATACTGTTTTTTCTAGCTTTCACCATAACTACCTCCATATAGATAATTAATGCCCCAAGGAAAATAATTATAAGAATAATTCCATTTATTGTATGACTGACCTTCCAGATGAATTTTCTTTATTTCTGTTTCAATAATCTGTGGCTGTCCTTCAACTCTTTTAGTAACTTTAGTATACTCAGATCCAGCTATGATAAGCATTAAAAAAAACAATGGTTAATATAAGGAGAATATTTTTGGCAAAAGAGTAATCCAGGCATTATATTCTGAAATTTTATTATGTAGATTGAGGCAGCAATAGTCAGGAAGCAATGACAAATTCCTAAACATTTTCTTAGAAATTACCATTGAGACTTTTATTCTAGGACTAGTAGTTAGGTATAGAAAGCCAGTTTGCTGAAGTAATGAAGGCCCAAGCTAGAAACCAATAGGGACAATGCCACCTGGGTGACTTTGGGTCAGTCAACCCTAGGAAAGAGGCAATGGCAAAATACTTCTGAAAAACCATGCCAAGAAAACTTCAGGGACTAATCCAGGCAGTTGCCAAGATTCAATGCTTCACACCCACCCACTTCAGTATGGCCATTTATTTGATGCATTCATAAAATATGCAAGGAGTACGCAGCTTTTTCTCACAGCTTCCAAGGTTTTATGTTGCTATACACGAAGAATAATTTGTTTGTGGTATTTTGGCCTAAACAGTTCTGGATATTATCTCAAATGTCTATGGGCCAAGTGAAATTTAAATTGCTGTATACTCTCTAATTAGAGATAAAGGCTTGAGCTGCAGAAAAGAGGAAATGTTCTAGAGATGTCAGCAAAGATTCTAGAATATAGCTTACTGTAGATAGAGAAGTCTGAAATCTTTGACACCCAAAGCATGCATACAGCTCTTAAGAACAAAGACTGAGGTATTTTAGATTTTTGTATTTGTATTTGATACATGAGTCTGAATAAGCTTTAGCAATCATTTAAGCTATAACAAGCATTTCAGTACATGAAAACAGGAGCATTTTAGCAATGGCGGCAAGCAGTTCAGCTGTTTTAAAATCTGTCTGCTATTAGATTCATAGCTTGCAATCTGAGGTAATATATGCCTTATCCAAATTCAACAAGAATTCATTCACTCATTTAAATGCAGAATTGTCATTAATTTGTGGAATACATGTATTTTGGTTCTTAAGACTCTTTAAAAAAAACAGTAACATACATCATGATTCATTCTTGTACTGTCCTGCTAGAAAGATATGTTGACATTCTTTTGCCCTAGTGAGCTTGATCAGGTAAAGATGAGGTGGTGGAAGCAAAGGAATACTGCCATTTTAACTCATAAATTTACCAATGGCTTCATTGCTTTGGAAGGCTGGCCAATTTATGTTCATTACAAGGGGGGAAAGGTTATTTTTGTTAATGGACTATTTTTTAAGCAATTGCAAGAAAAATAGATTAGTGATTTGGAATGTATATCTGAACGTGTTTTGTTTTTATACTTGAGGTGATAGAATCTGTTTTACAACTAAGGTAATGCATTGTTTTAAAATCTTATCTACTGATCGATACACATAGATAATAATCCTGTACATCTTTTATTGAAGTAAAAAAGTTATATGCTGTACATATACACATATATGCTAAATATAAAACGTAATTTAATGCTGCAACCTGTCAAGAATCTTGAGAAATGGAAAGTATATAAATAATTTTAATGTATAAAAATGTTATACATTATGGTATTTTAACTTTAGCATGAGGTTAAAAAATCAAGAGCTTGAGAAAAATAGTGCCCAAACTACTGAATTCCTTTTTTTAAAAATCGTTAAAACTTTAAAAAAATCTCGGGGCAGTGAAGAACTACTAGAGGTAGAGCTGATGTTCCCATCTTCAAAAAGGGGGAAGAAAAAAACAGACCCAGTAAACTACAGACCAATCAGTCTAATATCAATACCTGGGAAGATACTGGAAAAATAATAAAACACAGATTTAGAAACATCCAGAAACAAATAAAGTTATAACTAGTAGCCATCATGGGTTTGTTAAAAACAGATAATGCCAAACCAATCTTATTTCATTCTTTGACAAAGTGACTAAATCACTAGACTAGTGAAATGCTGTGGACATAGCATATTTAGACTTCAGCAAGGCATTTGACAAAGTAGACCACAACCTACTTTTTTGTAAGTTAGAAAAATGTGGGATAGACAGCATCACTACTAGATGGATTTATAACTGGCTGAGAAAGAGTACTCAATGACTAGTTTTTAATGGTACTACATCTGCATTTGCCCAGTTCTCTTCAATATCTTCATAAAGGGTATAGAAGGGGAACTCATCAAATTTGTAGATGACACTAAGCTGGCAGGAATAGCCAATACCCCAGAAGACAAGCTCAGAGTCCAAAAAGATCTTGATAAACTTGAACAATGGGCCCTATCCAACAAAATGAAATTTAATGTGGAGAAAAGCAAGGTTTTACACCTTGGCAGGAAAAACCAAAGGTACAAGTACAGATTAGGTAGAAACCGGGCTCAAAAACAGTAACTGTGAGAGGGACCTCACAGGAACCTCTGAGATAGCCACTTAAACATGAGTCAGCAGTTTGCGGCAGCAGCTAAAAAATACAATCCTTGGTTGTATAAACAGAGGCATAGAATCAAAATCATGTGAAGTATTAGTATGCTTTATAAATCCTTAATAAGGCCACACGTGGAATACTGCATCCAGTTTTGGTCACCACATTACAAAAAAGATGTTGAGACTGTGGGAAAAGTGCAAAGAAAAGCAACTAAGATGATAAAAGGCCTGGAGACTAAAACATACGAAGAATGGTTGCAGGATTTGGGTTTGGTTGGTCTAGAGAAAAGAAGAACGGTGGGACATGATAGCAGTATTCCAGTGTTTGAAAGGCTGCCACAAAGAGGAGATCAATTTATTTTCCAAAGCACCAGAAGGCAGGACAAGAAACAATGGATGGAAACTTCTCAAGGAGAGAAGCAACCTGGAACTAAGGATCAACTTCCTAACAGTGAGGACAATTAATCAGAGGAACAGTTTGCCTTCAGAAGATGTGGGTGCTTCTTCACTTTGAGGCTTTCAAAAAGAAACTGGACAGCCATATGTCTGAAATGGTATAGTGTCTCCTGCCCGAGGAGGGGACTGGACTAGAAGACTATTCCAACTCTGTTATTCTGTTCTGTTCTGTTCTTCATTCTAGCTATTTGGATAATTCTAATCTGCCAAGTAAGCAAAAGCATTCTAAAGTAATAAAGATAAATAAAGTAGAGATTTAAAAGTTATAGATAATTTAGTTCTTTCTTGCAAAGAATACTTAAGCTGAAGAGCCAGGATCTTGTTTTTGACTATGTAATAGAATAAATCCTTATATGTTATGACAAGCTAACAATAAAATGGAAGTAAAATCTGCCTTGCATATCTAGCTGAGGTTAGGAATGGAGCAGCATGTACAGCATGTTACAGCATCCTTTGAAAGGCAATAATATCAAACCTTTGCTGTGAATTTGAAGACCATTACTCAAACCATGAGGTTCTCATAATTCTGAAGTAGCTTCTTCAAGAGTAGTTCACAATTTTTTAGAATATATGCATGAATCATTCTTCAACTCTATCAGTCATTCATTATTTACATGCAGTTTTTATGTCAGCTAAAGTTTTCATGATACTGCTATAACAGGGTGTCAAACCCAAGGCCCAGGGGCAGGATCCGGTCCATGGAGTGCTTAGATCTGGTCTGCAAGGCTGCCATAGAAACAGTGAAGGAATGGCCTGTGGTGCGTCTGCCAGAAAAAATGTGTGTGGCCCTCACTGCCTTTTTGGCTGTGACGGCCTCCTGCAGCTCTCTGCCAGCAAAAATGGAGCTCGGGGAGGCTGCATGAGCTGCAGGAGGGAGTCATGGCCAAAAACGGAGCCTGGGAGCCCGTTTTTTTCTGGCAGAATGCTCATGCCACCGCAGCTGCCTCCGACATGAGTGACCTCAAGCTGGCCACACCCCTCCTGGCCACACCCACCCCAGCTCCTGAGGGTCAAGCACATCCCTGATGCGGCCCTCAATGAAATCAAGTTTGACACCCCTGTGCTATAATATATATCTGGCAATAAATCTTGCTGCTTCCCCCAGCAGTACTGAGTATTGCTTGAAGGCTTTTAGTTTGTTGAATCATGGTGCCAAGCCATAGCAACAGGGTGTTTATTACAATGATAAATTAAAGGATTGGAATCTTGAAACTCTTCAAGTTAATTAACTAATAACTTTTAAAAAGCTGACATCAACATACTTAATATTAAGAGGTACTTTCCATATGCAAAGAATTGTAATTATTAAGTTTCTAACTGTAAGATTAAAGCATAGAATCTGTATGATCGAAAAGAATATTAAGCATGCCTTTGTTAACTTATGAGCAATGAATATTCACAATAATTAATAAGGCAAAAGATCTGGAATTTTCTCAATGTTTTTATAAACATTTCTTGGGAGTTCCAAATGTATTGGGTTATATGGGGAGAGGGGTGAATCTTCAGTGCTCACTTGAAACTGTTTAAAGACTGAGCATAAACTATACATTTATTTTTCCTCAGTATGGATTTGTGGAAGTAAGCAGAATACCCAAATATCTTGTTTCATATACAATCCTTGAAGTTTGATCCATAGATTTTTCTTTACTTGAACCAGTCTTTAAAAAGTTAAGACAATAACTTGTCAACTCTTAAAGTTCATTAGGATGGAATTAGTTTTCTTGCACTCACTAACCTCCCTGGAGGAGTTGTTTGATTTCTTCATCATCCAGTAAATGACCATCACCTTCAATGAGTTTAGTCACCTTGGTAACCTCTGACAGGACATATATTTATGGCATGAAAATGTTTTATAGGACAATATGAAAAAATATTACTACAGTAAATGTAAAAAACATATTTTATAATTATTTCACTCATAAATAATCAGTATTTGGCTATTTTTTCAGTAAAATTCAATTGAAACAATTTGAATATCGATACTTAATGCTGAAAATCTTTATTTTATAAAGATTTCCATTGACAACATTCAGTACAGTAAATGATGTTGAGATTGCTTTTTTATTTTTAATCATTATTTACATACTATATGAGTCAGGCAGGCTTTGAATTGAGTTTAGAATTCAGGTGTTCTTCTATTTGTATTGTTGAATTTGCAGAAATGTAGCCATTTCAGATAATGAACATGCTTCAATGCAATCCATAAGTCTTCTCAAATTAATCTTAAACTAACCTACTAACCTTCCTCTAGCAATTTCTTAAGAGTCTCTTCATTATCTGTTCCTCCACCAGCAGTGATTCGAGTATATTTCAGTTCAGGGCCTGAAAATGATTCAAAAAAATTTAATTGGAATTTCTATAATTTCTTTTCTAAACTCTTAATTGTGATCATCAGGATCTTAACGTTATATGATTATAAAATTATATTATATGTGATGTGTTTGGTAGCTAGCATGTCATATGCAGAATGAGATTTCAAAAGATGAACACTTGTGACAACTAAGTAAATGAATTGTTGAAAGATGTCCTCATAGAATTCATTATCGCATTATTTATAAAAGATTAAACTTTTATTGACTTGACTGAGATTTAAATGTACTGTAAACATGCATACAGTAAAATAAAAATCAGTAAGTGGAACACATACAACTAAAGGAAACTTTGAGCACAAATTACATCTTTTTGTATAGAGAGCAGAGGATATATTTAGGATATTTTAGTTGGATAACTGAAGCTTAGTTTTATTTCTTGTGGCTTTTCTTAAGAGATTATTTTTGTTGCCAAAACTAAACATAAATGTGCCAGAATCAGAACTTATAAGAAAATTTAAAATAGTACATATTATTCCCCATTCATTTAACTACTTTAAATGAATTTTACCTTGAATAATTCTTTCTTCAGTCACCTCTCTTTCAGTCACTTCCACAGGATGCCCATCAATTATTTTTGTGTATTTTTTAATTATAGGCTCTATAAGAAAAAAAATTTAAATGGTTAATTGCAAAATCATTGCCATACACTGGGCTGCTTTTGGATTTTTAGACAGTGGGGAAAGTGTTAGAAATAGTTCATTCAAATGTTTTCATTAGATTATAGAAATGCCTTGAAAAAAAATAAGAGCAAGCCAAGTTTTGCCAAGACTACATACTTTCAAACTAAAAATTGCTGTTTTCCTAAAATCTGAATAAAGGTAGTTATTTTAAAACATATATTGAATTGTTTTGCTTTGTTGGCTTATTGAGAGCTTTGAATAACAAAAATAGCATGTTTCTTGATTATTCTGCAGTTGAAAACATTAATTGAATCACTAAGAAATTAATAGAATTGGCAAATTGTTATTGCTACATTGCATCTTAGGTCTACAATTCAATAACTTTTTAGCATGCAGAGTGAAAAATTATTTCTTTTATTTGCATTAATAAGAAAGAAATGAAAGTTAAAATTTAATTTTCTGATGCAATATATATGATTAAAACATGCTAAAAACAATTCTATAGCTGCAAGACTCAGTCTTCCCACTTGTATTTAAACTTTGGAACTGGTATTTGAAACTCTTTCCCAAATCCTTCTAGTTAGTATTGCCCAGACCACGAAATATATTCACCTCCATGAATCACTTTAGTTATTGTCTCTCCTTCCCTGACCAGCTTAAATTCTGGCTCCCCTTCAATCACTTTGGTGAACTTTGTAATAGATGGCACTGCAAAGCATTGTTAAAACATCATGAAATGTGTTATGAAAATGACACATGAAAATTTTATGTAAGTTTAAAAATATCTCGGAGAAAAATACTCTTGAAAACATAATATCTAGAAATCAACTGCAGAGCCAGTTCTAAAGCTTCTAAATTTAGCAGAGCATTATCAGAACAATATAGTCATACCATAATCAAAGTGTAGCATTAAACTAATTTAAATCCTTTTGACTGAGGTTTCAAGTTGGCCAGATTTAAAATAAGAAAAATTGTTGAAATACTGTATCCTTTAACCTATATTGGTATTTATTTATTTTGATATAATGTATATTATGTAAGCAAAAATATCATAGATGTTTGCATGCATGGGCAGATTCAGAAATTTGCAGTTCTTTGATATAACTATAGGAAATCATAATTCCCATTTGCCATTTTGATTTTTAACATCATTTATTTGTTTGTTATTTTTTATAAGGCATCTCGAATGTCCAAGCAACTTTTTAAATAATAAACATGCAGAAAATAATAATGAACAACAACAAAACAATATATATTATTATTTTAGGACAGGAAGTTGCCTCCATTTTGGTTTTTGTTGCTTTTTGGGTAAACATGGCTCAGATGATGGAGTGATATTACCACTAAGCCACACCATCTCTTCTATCTCCAATCTCAAATTAAGTATAGGAATTCTGCTGAAAATATAGATTGATCCTTCCTCTCTGACTATGTGCTTTCCTGCAGTTCCAAGTAAATTTATAGATTTTGTAAAGTTTTCATTAAAACATAATTGATTATAGGAACAAATTGTTACTGAATTTTATTCCAGTATTACATGCTACTTCCAAGAGAGAAACTTGGAGAGGTTGCTCTTTGTTCCCTTTCACACAGCTTACCTTCAATCTCCTTTCGAATTGTGGGACCACCAACTACCCTTGTAATCGTTTTAATATCTGTGAGAAGAAATGATTTGTTCACTTATGATTTTTGCCTCTTACACAATTAGAGTAATCTAATCTAATTAATTCTGCTAGGGTTTTATCTTCCTTTATTTATGGTAGTTGTAAAATCTATTGAATCTTTCTATACAAATATGTTAAAAATACATGGCATATTGAAAACATACAGAATATGAGAAGAAAAAATATGGTATCAGAGTTTTGTTCATTATGGCCTTTCTCACCTTAAAGTCTAGGAAAAAAATAAAATCTTTCTTTTCCACATGTGAACAGAATATGGCCAACACATTTCCATAGTTGACTTGAGGTTTGCACAGATATTCACCCTCTCTGGGAGATGTTCTCTGTAAGTTAGCTTTGACAACTTTTATCAGTCTCCAGCCATCCCTTTTTAGGAAAAGTGGATGAGAAGATGACAATGGCTCAATTCAGAAGAGGCAGAAGAGATTAAGAAGAGATGGCAAAATTATACAGCAGAACTATACAAGAATGAGCTTAATGTCCCTGATAGCCATGATGGGGTGGTCACTGACCTCAAGCCAGACATCCTAAAATCTGAAGTCAAATGGGCCTTAGGAAATCTGAGCAACAACAAAGCTAGTGGAGGTGACAGTATTCCAGCTGAGCTATTCAAAATCTTAAAAGACGATGCAGTAAAAGTGCTACACTCAATTTGGCAGCATATTTGGAAAACTCAAACATTAGCCACAGGATTGGTAAAGGTCATTTACATTCCAATTCCAAAGAAGGGCAATACCAAAGAATGTTCAAACTACTGCACCATTGCACTCATTTCACATGTTAATAAAGTTATGCTCAAAATCCTACAAGCTAGGCTGCAGCAGTATGTGGATCGAGAACTACCAGAAGTACAGGTAGGATTCCGAAGAGGCAGAGGAACTAGAGATCAAATTGGCAACATATTCTGGATCATGGAGAAAGCTAAGGAGTTCTAGAAAAACATCTACTTCTGCTTCATTGACTATGTTAAAGCCTTTGATTGTGTGGATCAGGACTTTTGGCAAGTCCTTAAAGAGATGGGAGTAGACCATCTTATTTGTCTCTTGAAAAACCTATATGTGGGTCAAGAAGCAACAGTGAGAACTGGATTGAACCACTGATTGGTTCAAAATTGGGAAAGGAGTTCGGCAAGGCTGTATACTGTCACCCTGCCTATTTAACTTATATGCAGAGCATATCATGAGAAAGGCGGAGCTAGATGAATCAAAAGTTGGAATTAACTTTGCCAGGAGAAATATCAACAACCTCAGATATGCAGATGATACCACTCTAATGACAGAAAGTGAAGAGAAACTAAAGAGCCACTTGTTGCGGGTGAGGAGAGTGCAAAAGTTGGCTTGAAACTCAACTTTAAGAAAATTAAAATCATGGCATCTGGCCCTCTCAATTCCTGGCAAATAAATGGGGAAGAAATGGAGGTAATGACAGATTCTATTTTCCTGGGCTCCAAGATCACTGCAGATGGGGACTACAGCCAATAAATTAAAAGATGCTTGCTCCTGGGGAGGAAAGCTATGGCAAATCTAGACAGCATACTAAAAAGCAGAGATATTACCCTGCCAACAAAAGTGTGTATAGTCAAGGCTATGGTTTTCCCAGTTGCAATGTATGGCTGTGAAAGTTGGACCATAAGAAAGGCTGAGCACCAAAGAATTGAGGCCTTTGAACTATGGTGCTGGAGAAGACTCCTGCGAATCCCTTGGACTGCAAGGTGACCAAACCTATCAGTCCTAGAGGAGATCAACCCTGACTGCTCTTTAGAAGACCAGATCCTAAAGATGAAACTCAAATACTTTGGCCATCTAATGAGAAGGAAAGACTCACTGAAGAAGAGCCTAAAGCTGGGAACGGTTGAGGGGAAAAGAAGAATGGGACAATAGAGAATGAGGTGGCTGGATGGAGTCACTGAAGCAGTAGGCATGAGCTTAAATGGACTATGGGAGATGGTAGAGGACAGGAAGGCCTGGAGGAACATTGTCCATGGGATTGCGATGGGTCAGACACGATTTCACAACAAACAATAAACCACTACAAAAGTCACTGCATTGGTTATTAGTAGGCTTTCAGGTCCAATTCAAATTCTCTCAAGTCCCACCTTTCCTTGGTTGAATCTGCCATTCTAATAATAACAAATCAAGAATGTCTGCTTAGAGTCTCCCCTTAGTTTGAGGTAAGATGTGTTTTCTCTGTTGTGGTCTCTATACTTTGGATCTCTTTGCTTCAGAAGGTTCACACAGCTCTTTCCCTTCTGGCATTTCATAACATTATTTTTTTTAAACTATTCCATCATACTTTTAAGATGGGTTAAATGTTTCTAGCCACCATCTGAGGGAGTTCAATTAATTATATGTCTTTCGTTTCATTTTGTATTTTTACTTTGTTGTATGCTGCCCAGAGTCTATGGTTTGGAGAAAGTTATAAAAACTGTTGAATAAATAACATCTTTGTATATAAAGTAGAGGACTATTGTTGACTCATCAGCAATGGTATTCTAAGCAATGATTTTTAAAAACCCTCCAATATTAATCATATCCTGGGGTAAAGCCAGATGGCAACCAATGATTTGTTGGCTGCATAAAGGAATTAAAGAACTACTATTTTCTGTGCTTATTTCAGCTGTATTAGTATTCCAAGTGTTGTCTTACCAGTGCAGTATAAACTGGTACTTCATGTGATTTTGATACTACTCCTCTGTTTCCAACTCACTAACTGATCAAGGTTAAAAGCCTTATAACAAAGTCTGCAAACAAATAATCTGTTTTATTAGGATGTTATGGATTCAACTCAAATTATCTAAAGATAATTTTGAAAGAACTTTTTTGGAGCTAAAAGCATCCCAATGAGACATGAGGTTTGCACATATGTTCACCCTCTCTGGCAGATGAAGATCACTGTGATGTTGTCATGTACAGCATAACATGACTAAAACTGCCTCAAACATTCAAAATCCACACATCTTCAAACTTCCAAGGCTGAGAAACACTGCCCTTATCTGAACTGCTATATGATTTTCCATTCCTGTAATTATTTGCAATTGAACATTTTAGTTTTTAAACTACTTACTGTAAAATGTTAGTGGAATTTCTTTAAACGTGCTACCATGGATAAACTGAAAAAAAATTAAGATATCAATTTAATTAACATTCAATCAAATCACATGTATTTATAAGAAACAAGAAAATGAAAACTGTTGAGTTACAGTGCATTAAGTGGGCTAATTCTATTACACAAAAAGCTTAATGAAAACCTGAAAATAAACAAAGTAGAGAAATCATGCAGAGAATGGCTTCTGGAAGATTTTCAAAGTCCTTAATAGTAGCTCTATTCTGGATCAGAGACTTAAGGAATGGTGCAGTCAGTAATATTCTGACCTACTGTATGATTTTATCTACTGTAGGGATGCATAGCTCCCATCTTTTTCTTTTAATAGCTTTCAATAAGGGTTGGTTGGTTGGCTGACTGGCTGGCTGGTTGGTTGGTTAGATAGACACTGGACCAGTGGTGGGATTCTACCAGTTTCCCTACCGGTTCGGTGATCACGTGTGTATGTGTGTGTGCACGCACATCTAACATGTGCATATGCATAGCTTTCCAAACACCAGCTGAGGCTGTGCCGCGCCAATCGGCAAAGAGGATGAAGAACAGAAAAGTGCAGGGGCAGGTGGGAGGGCCAATTCTGCACTTTTCTCTTCTTTCTCTTTCCAGCTGATTGTCTGAGCTTTTTTTTTTTTACTACCGGTTCAGCTGAATTGCTACCAGTTCGGCTAGCATTTCTCGGGTAGCATTTCTCCACTGCATTGGACTACTAAAATCTAGGACAAAATAAGCTCAATGGCCAAGTGGCTGTAGAATAGCACAGAATGAAGAAGAAGGAATTATGTCTTTCTGCATACAAACTCTATCAAGACAACTTTCTTCTTTTACATAGCATTTTGATTTCCCAGGAGACATATTTTTGTGTAAGAAAAGAACAAAACTAATAACCCAATGTCTTGGCTGAGTTGTTACTGGCAAGTTTTCCTTCTCATTGAAAGCCACAAGGAAGATGCAGAAATAATTCTGAATATAAAGAAGAGGAGAAAGGGGCTCTTTTTTGACAGGGAATTACTTAAATACTATGCATACACCCCAGTCAGTAATCATGAGTAAATATATTTGTATTAACAATGAGATTTATGAAGGTGGAGGTTCATTCTCCAAGCTTGTGGGTTAGTTTCACAATGTTTCATTACCAGGCTAGGTAACATTGATAGTGGAATTTAGGGGAAACTCCACTAATGATGTTACTTAGCCTGGTAATAAAATATTAGAAAACTAACCCGCAAGCTCAGAGAACGAACCTCCACCCTCATCCTATACCTGAACTACCAATATTCGCCACCATTAACGAGATTTATCCCTGAGTAAATATGTGTAAGATTAGAGTAATCTTAAATTGGGAAGTAAATGCCAATTATATTCATTTTATTGTGAAATATAAATAATATAGATTTAAGAATCATTTTTGAGAGAAAAACTTCTTAAAACTGGTGTTTTTTCAAAGCAAAGAATTAAAAAAAATGCTTTTAAATATTATGAAGGAGGAGGATGGGAGTATTTTTCCTTTTATTTTTTTCTTTTGACAGGACTATCACTGTCTGAGGAAATTACTATGGAAAAAGACCCTTATCATGACTAACTGTCCATTGGAGCCTTAAAAGGACATGGATAAAATGGAATGGAATTCTCTGCATCCTAACCATAACCCCCACCTTTTCCACAAAGTTCTTCCTAGGTGATGTTGAATGGGAATGGAAAAGAATCCAGGGTGTCCATCAATCATTGCCCTAAAATTGCTTGGTATTAAATCTCAAAGGGCAGCTGTAGCTCCCAACTTCATTACAGAGTTAAAATAAAATTCAGCTGTGTGAGAAGCATAGTTTATGTTGACACACTTTTCAATGACAGGAAAATGCTCATTAACATAGCCATGAGGAAGAGTGATTATCTACATCAGACTTGATGGAATTCATGGTCATTAAATTGTTTCCAAAATAATGTTTTGTGACAGAAAAATTATAGACATATTCCCAGATGGTAATTGATTTCCACATCTTATTTAAGACTGAATTCTCCTTAATTATTAGTGCATATGCCCTAAATGTTGCTAAAATATTTCTAAAATACTTTACCTGTAGGTGAGATGGGTGACATATAAATTTAATAATCATAATAAATGAAAGGAAGAGGTAAAATCGTAGGTAGGTAGAGGTAATAAATATGGTCTGCATTTCTTCTACCTCAAAACACAATCAAATAATCATACCTTGATCTGAATGTACTTAATCAATTTTCTGAGAATTGCAAGGAGCTGATCATTTCCAACTGGCATATCTAAAACAAAATATATTTAGTTAAATAAGCATTTGACAAAGTAGACCACAACCTACTTCTTGGTAAGCTAGAAAAATGTTATCATCACCACCAGATGGATTTGTAGCTGGCTGACAAATTGTACTTAATGAGTAGTCCTTAATGGTATTACATCGACATGGAGAGAAGTAAGCAGTGGGATACCACAAGGCTCCGTCTTAGGCCCAGTAGTCTTCAATATCTTCATAAGTGACTTAGATGAGGGAATAGAAAGGGAACTCATCAAATTTGCAGGTGACAGTGAACTATTAGGAATAGCCAACACCCATGAAGACAAGCTCAGGATCCAAAAAGACATTGACAAACTTGAACAATGGGCCCTATCCAACAAAATGAAATTTAAGAATAGGGAGGTTTTACACCTGGGCAGGAAAAATCAAAGGTATACGTAAAGATTAAATGAGACTTGGCTCAAAAATGGTAACTGTGAGAGGGACCTTAAAGTGTTAGTGGATAATCACTTCAACATGAACCAGCAGCAGCCAAAAAAGCTAATACAATCCTGGGTTGTATAAACAGAGGCATAGAATCAAGATCACTTGAAGTATTAGTACCATTTTATAAAATACTAGTAAGACCACATTTGGAATACTGCAAATAATTTTGGTCACCATACTACAAAAGAGATATCGAGACCTTGGAAAAAGTTCAGAGAAGAGCAACTAAGATGATCAAAGGCCTGGAGACTAAAACATATGAACAACGGCTGCAAGGATTTGGTTTGACTAATCTAAAGAAAAGAAGAATTAGTGGTGACACGATAGCAGTATTCCAGTATTTGAGGGGCTGCCACAGAAAAGAGGGAGTCAAATTATTCTCCAAAGCACCAGAGGGCAGGACAAGAAACAGTGGTCAGAAACTAATCAAAGAGAGAAACAACCTGGAATTAAGGAGAAACGTCCTAACAGTAAGGACAATTAACCAGTGGAACAGCTTGCCTCCAGAAATTGTGGGTGGTTCATCACTGGAGGTTTTAAGAAGAGACTAGACAGTCACTCGTCTGAAATAGTATAAGTTCTCCTGCTTGAGCAGGGGGCTGGACCAGAAGACCTCCAAGGTCCTTTTCAGCTCTATTTTATTCTATTTTATTCTATTTGAAAAAATAAAAGCTAGTTTGGAATCATTGTTAGCCTAAAATTTCTGGGAAACGGAAATTATGGGTCATTTTTTTGAGGATGGTGGGATGATAGAAAAATAAACTTTTCATTTCCATTACTATCAGCTGATACAGTTATGTATTCTGATCTTTCATATTTATTAAAATATTTGTACTTGGAAGGCACATCTGGACTACATGGTGCAATCAGCCCTTAGGTCCACAAATGCCATCATTTTTTTTATAGGTGGAGGACTATTAGTCCCTGCAGCCTTAAACCTTTTTGAGGCTAAAACATTGACAATTCTCTACAGGGCACTTTTTTTTTTTTAATGAAAGAGTCATTGGAAACCATGAAAACAAAATTCCTGTGATCAATTTTAGTTATATCCAACAGGATAGTTGAGAATTTGGACAAGAATTCTTCAAATTCAAGTTGGGACCTAGAAGATGATAACTTCCTGGCAGAAAATGCAATTATTCCTGGTAGCTTGGACTCCTCAATCCTGATAGATAACTTCTCCTCTCCCAGGAAACAGGCAATAGAGCACAAACTGGGCTTTCCCCATTGTTCTTAATTTTACTAGGCTATGATTCAAGTCAAGTAATTGGTATTCAACAGAATAGGAGATATGGAGTTCCAATTTGAAGTCAATCCTCCACAGCAGAGGATTAGATGTGGTATATAGGAACCAGCAAGATATCTGAAAAATCTAACCTTTCCTAAGAACAGAATAGCATTTTTAGAGCTAGCAATTTAGACTTATATACTGCTTCATGTGCTTAAGCATTCTCTAAGCAGTTTACAATGTCAGCATATTGCCCCCAATCTGGGTCCACATTTTACTAACATTGGAAGGATGGAAGGCTGAGTCAACTTTGAGCCTCATCAGGATCAAACTCCTGGCAGTGGGCAGAGTTAGCCTGCAATACTGCATTCTAACCACTGTGTCACCATGGCTCCATGGCTAAGAAGAAGATTTAATAACTTCCCCTCCGGCAGGTACACTAAAACCCCCATAGCAAAGCAAACATGTACATGTGGCAATAAGGAAATTAAAAACACATCATGTGTCTTATTATACTGCAAACACTAAAGGAGAAAGCTCCTTGATGCTTTCTGAGCTTGATAGTTTTCTTGCAGATGTTTCATTACCCAGACTAGGTATCATCATCAGTGCTAATAAGGAGTGGGGTTTGAAAGAAGAATCCTTAAACAACATGTAACATATTAAATTCAATTTAAGGCATCTCATACTCAAGTATGAGTACTACTTTTGGGATACCCCAGGGTGTGTCAAGTAGGGCCTTAGAAATTTCCACTTTTACTGTCTCTAAAGCATTCTTCATATACAACCTGTACTGCATCGAGTATTTGAGCTAAGTCAGCCTGGTCATCATCACTTTCTTTCAAGCTTGTTGCCAGCTGCCATGGAAAAAAGGGAGCAATGGGCATTTGGGAGGGGGAGTATACGGGGGGGGGGGAGTGAAATGCTAGGAACCAATGGGGAGGATTGAACTCATGGTAGGCAGAGAGACTAAAAGGGTTTATCTCACATTTTCAAAGCCAATTGTCCTGGGAATGGCATGCACAGTGGTAGCACAGGACACCTGGATTGGAGATGTTTCCAAAACATCTTACTGAATGATGATTGGACTCTGTCTGCCTGACTATTGGGGGGGAGAGATGCGCCCAGTGATGGGATTCAATTTTTTTTACTACCAGTTCTGTGGGTGTGGCTTGGTGGGCTTAGCTTGGTTTGGTGGGCATAGCTTGGTGGGCATGGCAGGGGAAGGATACTGTAAAATCTCTGTTCCCTCCCCACTCCAGGGGAAGGAAACTACAAAATATACATTCCTTCCCCACCTCAGTAACCTGCTTTCCAGCTCTGTTCTTCTGTGCAGGGCAACGAAAGAAGACCCAGCCAATCAGCTGGGACTTGGGAGGCAGAGAATAGATGGGGGCAGGGCCAGTCGAGGTGGTATTTGCTGGTTCTCCGAACTACTCAAAATTTCTGCTAACGATTCTCCAGAACCGGTCAGAACCTGCTGAATACCACCTCTGGTATTCAGAGTACCTGCTGAATACCACCTCTCAACCTGGGGTGACTTTCAATCTGTAATTTTCACATGCGCTTGCTTCAGACCTTGTCTGACATTTGCTGCATTTTGATCTTTCCTAGTAAAAGTATTTTTTCTCTAAATTCATGGAGTCAAGGGTTTTCTTTCCTAAGAATTGATTGGGACAATCCTGACAGGTAAGTTTTAGCTTCAAAAAGCCTGAGTGCTGCTGCTAGAGTTCAGCTCCTTAGGAGTACAAATTTCTTCTCATGGCTAATATAGATTTTGATGTCAGTTATATAATACAGGAAGTCCTCGTGCTTGGGACTGGCAATTCTGTTGCTAGGTGCTACTAACTTCTCCTTGCTTGTGATAATTAAACTAAGTATATTTAATGTTTCATAGGTTCAGACCAATGGTTTAGAATTCTATTTTCAAAAGGCCACAGATATTTTGTTGGAATACCGTAATCAGGAATACATGTTCCAGCTTTATAGTTCTGAAATATTTTTATCAGGACCAACCAATATAGCACAAAAATTATGGATTTACCCCTCCCCAATCATTCCAATATATTGTCAATATGGATCATATTACTACTTCCAAACTTCCTATACTGACCATATGGACTGTAAGCAAGAATTAAATTGTCACTGGTGTCTGGTATTAATTACAAAATCCCTGCTTTCTCAAATTTCCTATTCCGTTTAACTTGTGCAGAGTGGATGATGAAACATAATATTAGACATTGCATCACATTAAGTGAGATCTTAAAATTTCTTACTGGAAGTTGTTTCAAGAGCACAGACTTCATAGAATCATAGGCTGGAAGGGGGTTGGAGATCTTCTATCCAACCCCCTGCTCAAGGCAAGAGTTTTATACTATACCAGTCAAATGGTTGTCCAGTCTATTTTTGAAAATCTCGAGTGATTTACACAATACCATCCCAAGTTATCCTTCTTCCAAAAATTCTCAAAAATGCCAGCCATGGGTCCCTCCCACCCAGTCCATTATCACTCTTTAACAATTGCACAAAATTACTATATTGACTTTTCTATGATGATGTGAACCTGTGGGAAAAATCGGTATATCTCATAGCCACTATATCTCATTAATACATAGTAATAATCCTTAAATTACCTGCAGGATATAGAAGCTTGTCTATGACATGAATCACACCATTAGTTGCCATGAGATCAGATTCTGTTGATTTCAGTTCATTTACTAGCAGAGTGTCATTTATCTAAGCAATAATCAACAAGAATTAAAACAAGAAAATTATCCACAATTAGTGAAATGTTTTCATCTTTAATATTAAAGAAATTTGGAGATTTAGGTAAATTTAAAGAAGCTGATAGAATTTTAATCAACAGTAATGCATAGTGTTTGCAAGGGTGCTCCTCATTGTCAGTTTGGATATGTAAAGGTCAGTGAATAAAGGTAAGGATCCTTTTTTAAAAAGCTATAACTACTTACCATTTTCAAATATAGTTTGCCACCTTGGATAGTTTTAAGAATGCTAGTCACACCAGGTTCAATTCCACTTGCAATGAAAACTCCTTGTATCAAATGATAAAGCAAAATGTTCCTAAGAGCGTTTTGGTCTCCTAGTGAAAAAAATGCAAAAGATATGGGCACTGGTTAGTCTAACCCACTGCTACAAAGAGCTTACTTTCCTTCAATCAACACACTCCTTCAATACTCCTTCACTTCAATACTCTGTTTTTTTTTAAATTCCAAATTAATCAAAACTTGAACTTAAGATGAAGTAATTAGCAAAGAGATTTTATATCTTGAATGCAATGGAAATCTTATAAACAACAATAATAGTATATCTAATTCATCTTACAATTCCACAAAAAAACACAGAGATTTTCAATTTGGACTTGCAACTGGATTTTATGCACTATGGGAGAGTTCAAAGAAGTCCTCCTCTTGACATTTTCCAAAACAACAAGAAGGAAAACATAAATTTTAAAACAAAATAAAGCAAAATTGCAACTTCTTTGAAAATAAATCATTTATTGAGATCTAACATATAATTCACAAGTGAGAACAAGCCAAAAATAGCTCATGTACCAGAAAGAATAAGGATCTCAATGTCACAGGATGACACAAGAATGGAAAATGCTTATAGGTAGGATAACACTATATGTGGAAGGGGGAGAGGTTGGGTTTGAAAGAGGTTAGGAAGGAAATCATAAAGTGGTTATCTATGTGTTTTTGGATCCTATCCTCTACCCCATACAGAAATCTAAACTAAATCAACCACAACAGTTAGTTGTTGAAAACATATTCAGTGATAACGAGACTACCAAAATCTCTCTCTCTGCCCTCCATCTTCCCTTCTCCTTCTCCCCACCCCTTCCAGTCTGGAAAGATTTATTCTTGAGACATCTCTACAGATTTCAACACATTTGTTGTTTTATGAAATTTTCCAAATACCAATGAAAATCTGACTGGTGTGTCCTTTTTTCCCCATTTTTCAAAATACATGAGCAAAATCCTTCATTATCCTAAAATACAATTCATTTGATCCTGGAAATTTAAATTTATTCATAATATAACTCTGGTCCTTCAATTTATTCTATTCTACATAGCTGCCTGGTGAAATTCATATTACACTTCTGATATAAGAATAAACCAAAAGAGATGGGTAGAACTGTTAGCACTTTTTTGACTCAATAGATAATGTACTTTCCTTCTTCCTTTTATTTTCAGCATATCTATAGAATTTTTTTTGTTCTTGTTGTTAGCTTTTTGACTAGTTGTTATTTTCTAGTTGTTATTCTTCTTTGGTGACCTGTCTCAATTTCTATCTCTTATACCCTGTTTCCCTGAAAATACTACCTATCCTGAAAGTAAGTCCTAGCTTGATTTTTACATGTGCCCATTTTAAGCTCTACTCCCAAAATAAGCCCTAATTAAGATCCTGCCTACTCGAGTGCACAGGTGAAAAATTCACCTAGGGTGGGAATGGGAGGGTGGAGCTGACCTACTACTTACCTTTGGATAGTTGTAGTCAGGCCTTGCCAGCCCATTTCTTCTGCAGCCGGCTTTCCTGAAGACCTCTGTAGCTGATAACATCGATCTGGAGCTCTGTTATCAGCTGCAGAGGCCTTCAGGAAAGCCTTGCTGGCCGCAGAAAAAGTTCCTGAAGGCCTCTGACACGAAAAGGAGGGTGACGCACGCAAGTGAGGTTAGTCAGTAGATGACATCCCCCAAAAATAAGACCTGGTGCCTTTTTTTGGTGGCAAAAATATATATATAAGACAGGGTCTTACTTTCAGGAAAACCCAGTATGTATTTTTCAGATCTTTACCAAGCTATTTGGGCAGCTATTTTAATTTCTTTTGTTAACCTCTTCTTTGAGAAATTATTTATGATTGTTATTAGTATTACCTTTTTTAAGAATATAAGACTACACAGTACTGAACTTCTGCCATAGATTCATATAATAATTGTTGCAATACCCCACTCTCTTTGAAGATTAATAGATGTACATATTAACTTCAGATCCTTTTAAAATCAAGAATTCCAGACTTTTATGGTCACCTTTCAACACTGACAATTGGTCAGGATCAAATCAAGGAGAACATTGTCAGTAAAACATAAGGAATCTTCTGGTCACTTAAGAGAGCAAGAGGCAGAATATATTGCCAAAGCAACAATCATATACCTATAAGGTATCAAAAACAAAACATAAACAAATATGAATTCCATATAATAAAGTAGTGCTAACTTTTCATGACCTCTGGACAAAATGGGTGGTACCCAAATCAGAGGGGGGGGGAGGGAGGGAGGGAGGGGCAGTGTCAGCCCTGGAGGCCATTCTTTTCTCTCTTTTTTTGGTCAAGTTTTTTATTTTATATTACATATACATATCAATGCATGAACAGTGTGACACCTGGGTGCCATACATTTTGTTACAAATAATATTATTACTCATGATTATTACATTTATCCAGCTTATATATTTCTAGTAATAATACACATTTCATATTGTAATAATAATAATATTCATTTCATATTGTTTGAACATACCTGATACAATTTCTAAACCTCCCTCTTGTTACTACATTTATCTTATTATGTAAAAATGTGTATACTGTTATTCCCCTTTTCTCTTATTTCTGTCTCTATTCTAACTTTTACTCATGTCACCATTATATTAAAAGATGTTTCCTTTCTGTCTTTCATCTCTCATCTGCTTTAATACTTTAATTCATCATTATTTCATTATTCAATGTTGCAATATTCAATTCTGATGCCAATCACAATATTATTTAAATATACAGAATGATTCTATTCATATTCTATACATTGATCCAGTCTATATGATTCTGCTATTAATACAACTGTTTATATTAAAATATATTCTTTCATTATTTCATTATGCTATTTGACTTTATTATTTCACTGTTAATCATATTATTTAAGCATATTTAATAGTACCATCGTTCAAATTCTAATTTTCCCATTTTAATACTTAATTCTTATTCATATGCCCCATATTCCACTCTTCACATTTATCTCTATTAAAATATTGTCCTTCATTATTTCATTATTATTTCATTGTTCAATATTTCAGTATACTATTCTAGTACCTATCACAATACATACAAAATAATTCTATTCATATTCTTTGTTTTCATCCTGTCTATATAATTCTAACGTTAATACACATGTTTATGTTAAAATATGTTCTTAAATAAAAATAATTTTTCTCTTTTTTTTCTATCCATCAAAACTTTTAAGTCTTCTTTTTTTGACTTGCCTCCCATATTCTTCTTTTGGATCTTTGTCTCTATTTAGATCTACATCTACATCCTGACTGTTCAATCTAAATATTTCTCCCATCCCTACCCTCTTCCACTGTTTAACTTAGTATTTGACTAAGTATATGAGTATATGACTAAGTATTTGAGTATATGACTATCTGCTCTAACCCCTATCTCAAACCCCAAAGCATCTTCCTGCTTCTCCAATTCTTTTTTTAGATCTATTGAAGTGTTTTCCCCTTTGTTAGATTCATCAATCATTGTTAATGTTATTAGTATCTCCTCCTTGTTGTCTTCTTTTTGCTGATTTCCTGGTTCTGCTTTTCCTTTCATTCCTTCTGCTGGCTCTTTATTTTCCTGAGCATCTTGGTCTTTACTCATTATCCCTTGTATAATATTTTCCAGTTTTTCATCAATGCCATCTATTAATTCCCTAGTCGCCTTATGTTCTTTCTGTATAATATCCTTTATGCTTTGAAACATCAGCTCCATCTCATTTAAAGTTCTGCTCATTTCCTCCTTGTGTTGCATCTTGTCTTCTTTTAATGAATCCCACTTTTGGCCAATAGCTTAAGAACCCTTTATTCAAAGCTGAGGTTACTCTTCAGAATGCACACTAGTCACAGTTCTTTATGTCCCACAGATAATCAGTCAGTTCCATTTAAATAGTCTAGGGAGTTATCCAAGCCTTCTTAAGTCACTTTTATAAGTTCAATCATGTAACATAACATCCAGAGGTCATTTTAATTGAATATCTTCCATGTTCTCATATTTAAATCTCCAGTGGTCTTAGGGTAGGTAAATGAAACCCAGTAAGTATTTTCACAGTCCTTCAAATAAATGTTCTCAAGCTTGTATATTTTCCTCTCATCAGCAGATATCACTCTCTACGTAACAATATATCTGATTTTAATTATTTTGAATTGTAATTCAAGTATAAAAGCAGTGTTAATTTTTTAAATCCATAATGCCAGCATTTTTAAAAAAATAATGTTTATTGAAAGTTTCAAAAAAAAAAGAATATTTTAAAAAAAGAGAAACATGTTCTCACATTTTGTAACGTTTTCATAGTAGTGTACATTTCTATTAGTGTCAATTAAAGTCATTTGCTACAAGTAAATCTATAACTTGTTTCCGAAATCCTTACTTATTTATGTTATTATTACAATTATAATACAATATTTATTTAATTATATTATTTTACATATATACATAGCTATATATACATTTATCCTTATTTCCATTTTTCCTTGTTGTTTGTTTAATCAATTTCACTAGACATCTTTACTTCCTTTTTATACAACCATTTGTACCATATATTCCAAATTGTAAAAAACTCCCCCTCTTCCTTGTTTTTTAGTAACATGGTTAATCTAACCATTTCTGTGCATTGGTGGATTTTATTAGTTATTGCCAGGTCCGTGGGTATCATTGTTGATTTCCAGTTTCTTTTCCTTTCGGTTTGGTAATTTTCTCAAAGTGCTTGCTGCTTTGAAAATAATTCTGAGTAAATAGTTCCGCTGAACTTTTTCTTGGGTTGTGTTTTAATAAAAAAGAATCCTCTTACCCAATTCCACACTGTTTACCAAAATTCACTCCAGCACAAATCTTAAATGGTCTCCGGCTGTACCAGCTTCCTGGCAGCCATCTTTGGACAGCCTCTTCTCTTCATTGTGGCTGAGAGGGAAAAAAAGCTCCGGGTCAGGCAGGAGAGATGCGGGTCTCCATGACTTTGCAGGGCACCCCTCTTTGCTTTTCTGCCCCATAGGGCAGCTTTAGCTCCTTTCGGAGGTCATCAACATGGACAACTCGGCATGAGAGTGTGA